ATCCGTCCTCCGCCTCAGCGCCCCCCAAACGCCTGCCCAACATGAAGGAGATGCAGTTCATCGGCCTCTGGAAGACCCTCTACGACATCTTCGCCAATCAGACGAATGAGCAGGCGATCTTTGACGCCATCGCCATCATCGGCAATGACCTCCTCCGCCTGGGCTACCTCAGCTCCTCGGCGGGGATGGCCAACAACAAGAAGGAGGACCGGAGTTTGTCCGCTTCAATGAAGGAAGAGGAAGAAGAGTGTGACGGCAACAGCAGCATCCTCAGCCTCACCACCTCCACCACCAAATCTGATGAGAGCAGTCAGACGCTAAGTGAGCTGGACGATCCACACTGCGTCAAGCTGGACAGCTACTCCATTCAGAGCTTCAGCAGCTGCTGCTCCAGCGAGGAGCCCCCACCGCCGACTAAAGAAGAAAAAGGCGGCAAAAAATTGGAAAACAGTAGAAAGTCCTCCTCCATCTCAAACTCTGATGATCATCACGGTGGTCCACAACTGCAGAAGACACCAACTGCGAACGCCAGTGCCGCCGTTGACTGGGAGATTAGCTTTGAGCAGTTCTTTGGCGTCCTCCACACACAGCAAACGCTGGCGGACCTCTTTGAGCGCAAAGTTTCAGTAGGCGGAGGAAGTGGCGGTGACAGTTGGGCGGCGGTCATCGCCAAGTTCAAGAGCATCGACCGGCAGCAGCTGCTGCTCGAGCGGACGAGCAGCTTTTCCGCCGCCTCGGCGACGCATTCCTGAACAGGCACACAGTCCTGCTACCAAAATACTTGCCCAATCACACTTGCCCAGTCACACACCTCTCTTTCAAAAAATGACCATATTTTTCCCCCTTTTTCTTTCCTTTCTTCTCTTTAACTCTTCCCTCTTTTCTTTCTTTCCTCCCTCTTCACATTCTGCACCACCAGAACACATGGTAACACTGGGACAAATCCAGCGCCCCTCAATCCCTTCTTTTAGTTTTTCCTCTCCTTCTCTCTTTCCCTCCCTTCTCTCTCTCTTTCTACCACTACCTTTTCTACTATTTATTATTGTCGATTGATAAATAAAAAAACCTCTTTTTCAAACCTCTTTAGAAGTCCATTTCAGTGGCTTTCAGTGTGCTCCATCTTGCGGAGTTTCTCGACAGCTTTTGCCGATTTTTTGCTGCAAACGTGTTTGTTTTGGTTTTTGGTTTGTTTTGCAGCTTTGGTGCTGTCAGTATTTTTGCCATTTGGTGATTTTGAAGATTGAGGAAGAAAAGTTTTTCTTTTTTCTTTTTTCTACAATCCAAATCAAGGCCATGGACATTTCCGAGCATGTCAATAACATCCTCGATCAGATGCTTGCCGCGAAGGTGTCGCCGAGTGACTTCAACTCCATCGAGTACATCAACCGCATCTTCCCTAATGAGCAGTCGCTCTCGAACATTGACGAGGTGCTGCGGATACTGAAGGAGAAGATCGCCTTCCTCGACACTGAAATTCGCAGCGTCATCTGCTCGCAGAAGAGCGTCGAGGAGAACGGCCGGCGGACGCTGGAGGACGCCCAGACGCTGATTCTCTCGCTGACCAATGTCATCAAGGAGATCAAGGGGCAGGCGAAGCAATCGGAGAAGATTGTAAGCCTGTGCTGCTGCTGCTGCTTTTAAATCATTAATTTCTTAACCAAACTTTTCCCCTTTCCTTTAGGTAAACGAAATAACGTGCAATATAAAGCAGCTGGACAATGCAAAGCGCAATCTGACCGCCTCCATCATCATGCTCAACAATCTGCACATTCTCGTGCAGGGAACGCAGATTCTCAAGTAAGCTCTTCAAAAACCGCTTTTTCTTGAGCATTTTGATTTTCATCTTTTTATCTTTCTCCGTAGAGACACCACCAAGAAGCGACAGTACGGCGCCGCGGCCAAGACGCTGCAGGGCATCCTCGACGTTCTCAAGCACTTCAGCCGCTTCCGCCACATTCCGCACATTCTCCGCCTGGTGACCGAAATCGAGGAGGTCTGCGCCCGCCTGGGCGCCCAGATACTCGCCGACTTCTACGCCACCTTCGACCTGAAGAACGTCGCCACGCCGCCCCTGACCTCCGCGCAGATTCACCTCCTCGCCGAGGCCTGCCTCGTCCTCTCCATCCTCGAGCCGAAGTACAAACGGGAGCTGCTCGCTTGGTTCGTCGACAGCGAGCTGAGCGAGTACCGGACGCTCTTCGCGGAGAACCAGGACATCGCCTGGCTGGACAAGGTGGACAAGCGCTTCGCCTGGCTGAAGAAGCACCTCATCGTCTTCGAGGAGAAGATCGGCTTCCTCTTTCCGCCCAGCTGGGAGGTGAGCGAGTGCATCGCCGTGGAGTTCTGCCGCCTGACGCGCCGCGAGCTGGTGAAGGTGATGAACAACCGGTCGCTGGAGCTCGATGTGGCCGTCCTCCTGCCGGCCATCTCCAAGGCGACGGCCTTTGAGAAGCTGCTCTCGCAACGGTTCACCGGGGTGACGTTGACCAGCGGACAGTTTGGTGGCAGCGGTTCGGCGGGGAATTTGGCAAAGAAATCAAGTGGAGGTAGTGGTGGCAATCCCTTCAGCGGCCTGATCACCGTCTGCTTCGAGAACTACCTGAACATCTACGTGGAGGCGCAGGACCGCAGCTTCGCCAAGATGATCGACCAGTTTGTGGAGGAGCAGCGAAAGGCGGCGACCTCATCATCAGCAAATAGTTCTGAAACTTCCACGGCAAGGGCGGAAATTCTGCCCACCAGCGGGAAGCTCTTCACGCAGTACAAGAACTGCCTCATTCAGTGCATCTCACTGAGCAATCGCATGCCGCTGGTCCTCCTCTCCACTACCTTTCAGAAGTACCTGCGGGAGTACGCCCACAAGATACTGCAGGCGGCCATTCCCAGGGTGGGCAGTGCTGGTGCTGCTGGCGGGAGTTCAGGTGGAGTGCTCTCCCTGGGCGCCAGCCTCTCCAGCACGCTCTCCTCGGCCGCCTCGGCCGCCTCTGCGGCTTCAGGGGCGGCAGGAGGTCTGTCCGCCGCCTCCTCCTCTGCCGCCGCCGGCCTCCTGCAGATCTTCATGAAGGACCTGGAGAACCGGGCCTACTCGGTGCCGGAGATCGTCCAGCTGTGCGCCATCATCCTCACCGCTCACTACTGCCTGGAGACGACGCAGCAGCTGGAGCGGAAGATCACCGAGAAGGTGGACTCGTCGCTGGTGGAGCGCATTAGCTTCAGCGGCGAGTGTGACATCTTTCATGCGTAAGCTTAATGAGGGAAAAGAGTTTTTTAGTTGAATTTTAACTGTTTTTTCCCTCTATTCTAGAACCATCGTCAACTGCATTCAGCTGCTGACGCACTCGATTGAGTACAGCTGCGAGCAGCCGCTGCTGACGATGATCAAGGTAAGGAGGAGGAGGACTTGCTTTTATTTTTATTAGCTAACTAACTAACTTGCCTACTCTCCTCTCTGCAGACCGCCTGGTCGAACGTCGACACGCCCATCGGCCCGAGCGCCTACGTGAGCTCGCTGACGGCCACCTTTCACCAGCTCTTTCCGGTGATCCGGGAGAACCTGCACGAGCTGCCGGCGCAGTACTACGCCTTCTGTCTGCGCTTCGCCACCGCCTTCATCGCCAAGTTCATCGCCAACCTCTACCGCTGCAAGCCGCTCAGCCACGGCGGCGCCGAGCAGCTGCTCCTCGACTCGCACACGCTGAAGAGGACGCTGCTGGAGCTGCCCGAGTACGGCGCGACGGCCACCGTGGCCATGGTCATGGGCGTGGGAGGTGGAGGAGGAGGTGGAGGTGGAGGTAAAAACGTGCCCAACACCGCCGCCTACAGCTCCACGGTGGTGAATGGAATGACGAAGGCGGAGATGATTCTGAAGATTGTCCTGGTGAGCGCCGCGCCGCCGGAGATGTTCGTCGAGAACTACTTTAAGCTGATTCACGAGAAGGACATCAGCGAATTTCAGAAGGTCCTCGACATGAAGGGCATCAAGAAGGCGGAGGCGGCCGTCCTCTCCGACCTCTTTCGCAAGAAGTGTCTCACTTTGAGCAGTGGTGCTGGTGCTGGAGGTGGTGATCATCAACGTTCGACAGGAGGAGTGTCTGCTGGAGTGAATGCAAACGAGACGGCGGAAGGGTCGGAGGAAACGGCAGCGGCTTCAGCAGCTGAGCTCGAGTCGAGTCGCATCAAGAAGCTGGAGAAGCTGATCAAGAAGCGTCTCTAGGTAGTCTTTGAAATGTGTTCTTTTGAAGAGAGATGTAAAAAGGTGATGAGCTTTTTTTAAAATCTTTTCTGGTGCTTTATCTCGAATCGCGCCAAGCGAGATCAGGCGCCATCTAACGCAACCAAATGTCTATCCTCAGTGTATCTGTCTGCTGTCGCCAGATACTGTGCTTGCTCCCTTTCTCTCTCTCTCTCTCTCTCTTCTTTCGCTCACCCTCTCACTCTTACTCACTGTGTCTCGGGCACGTCTCTTTGAGCGACTTGGCAGCAGCAGAAGAAGAAGAAGAAAAGGCAGCACAAACACACACTCTCTCTCTCTCTCTTGGACCTGACTTCTCTTTGCCATCTCACACACAATCTGTCCGGTCAGGTTGACAAAGTCACACAGCCAGCCAGCCACTGGTCATCAGCCCATCATCCTCTTCACCCTTTATCATCTTCAGCCGCACCTGCTCAGTACACTGATCAACTGAGCAGAGAGCAAGCACAGCAGAGCTGAGGAGCACCGCAAACGTAACGCCCACCAGTACTGCACGCAACCACAACAGACAGCTGAGAGAGAGAGAGAGCAGACGTTGTCAGCCTGTGCAGCAGCAGAAACATCAGCCTCAGCAGCACCAGCCTCACCGATTTGCCACAACACTTTCTTCTTCTTCTTTTCACCACCAACCCTCCTCGATCAGCAGCAGCAGCAGCAGCCGCAACAACAGCAATAGCACCGCTTCATAGTCCATTACCAGTGTTTAGCATCCGCTCCTAGCCATCACCACCACCAGTCCACCACCACCATGGCCGAGTACTGGCTGATATCGGCGCCGGGGGAGAAGACCTGCCAGCAGACGTGGGACACACTGAACGGAATGCTGGCCAAGCACGGCGCCGACCAGTTCTGCAAGGCCAACCGCTTCAACATTCCCGACCTGAAGGTGGGCACCCTCGACCAGCTGGTCGGCCTGAGCGACGACCTGAACAAGCTGGACACGTACGTGGAGTCGGTGAGTCGGAAGCTGGCCACCAGCATCGGCGACATCCTGGAGAAGGGCCAGCCGCTGGGGGAGCAGCTGCAGGCGAACGGACAGGAGCTCTCCGCCTACCTCACCAAGTTCCAGTGGGACAGCGCCAAGTTCCCGGTGAAGCAGTCCCTCAAGTCGCTGCAGGAGATCATCAACAAGCAGATCGGACAGATCGACCAGGACCTGAAGACGAAGACGGCCACCTTCAACAACCTGAAGGGCAGTCTGCAGTCGCTGGAGCGCCGGGCCACCGGCAGCCTCCTGGTGCGCAACCTCACCGAGCTGGTGAAGAAGGACCACTTTGTGCTGGGCAGCGAGTACCTCACCACGCTGCTGGTGGTCGTCCCCAAGGCGCTCTACAAGGACTGGTCGCTCAAGTACGAGAAGCTGACCGACATGATCGTCCCCCGGTCGAGCGCCCTCCTCTTCGAGGACCAGGAGCACGGCCTCTGGAACGTGACGGTCTTCAACAAGGTCGTGGACGAGTTTAAGCTGAAGGCGCGCGAGAACAAGTTCGTCGTGCGGGACTTCACCTACAGCGAGGAGGACATTGCCGCGGGGAAGAACGAGCTGGCCCGCCTGGAGAGCGACCTGAAGAAGCAGTACCACCTGCTGATGCGCTGGCTGAAGGTCCACTTCAGCGAGTCGGTCATCGCCTGGGTGCACGTCAAGGTGCTCCGCCTCTTCGTCGAGTCCGTCCTCCGGTACGGCCTGCCGGTCAACTTTGTCGCGGCCGTTCTCCTCCCGCCGAAGAAGAACCAGCGCCGGCTGCGAGAGCTGCTCAATCAGCTGTACGCCCACCTGGACACCTCCATCAGCCAGGGGCCGATTGAGGACATTCCCGGCTTCAACATTGGCGCCCAGGAGTACTACCCCTACGTCTCCTTCAAGATCAACATTGACTTTGTCAGCGTGAAGACCCAGTGAGCCGGGAGGGAGGGAAGAGTTTGTTTACCTTTTTTCTCCAGCGTCTATCTATTTATTCCTCTGCTCGCTGCCTCGTCTGCTTCTTCTTCTTCAGCTACTCCAGAAACAAAATCGGCAATAGATTTCTTCCTCTTTCTCTTTTTCCTTTAAACTCATCAACGCCACCAACTCCTTCTACAACTCCTCAACTTCCCTCATCTCTAATCCAGAGCCAAGATTTTATCTTCTTCTTCTTTTTCTTCCTCCCACTCACCATTACTACCGCCATTTTATCGCCTCAGCTGACCAGTCTCTCCTCGCTCTTATTCCAAGCCTAGTCTAGTGTGTTTGCTGCTGCTCCTGTTGAAGTGTGTGGTCTGTTGGTAGTGGTCTGTGTGATTGATCAATAGCAGTGACATTCCATCACACCCACTCACACACCCACACACCAGTGACCAAGTTTGCTGAAAACTTGGCTTCTCTTTCCTCTCTTTCCAATTCTTTCCTCCCTCCCCAAACACACGCACTGCTGTGTAAAAGACATCAGAAATACCTTTTTCTCTATGTGTTGTTTAACTGTTGATTGATTAATTAGTTACTTTTATTCTCTAATTAACAGAATGAATTGAACAGATAAGATTGCGCGCCTAAAGGGGAGATTTGATACAGGGTTCGGCTTGGTGATCCAAAAAAGGTGAAGATTCCTAAAAAGATGCTGTTGTTTACAGAGGCAGAGGTGGTGATGATGAGGGAGATGGGGAGACCGATTGCTTGTCTTCCTCCGCTTGAAGACGATGCCTTTGTACAGATGATGGGGATGGTGATGGTTGTGGGGTTAAAATGATGAAACCTCAGCCCCCTCAATTCTATCATCCTCCTGCGCCCCTCTCAAATGTCGAAGAATGAGGAGTAGATTTGCTGCGCCACGCGAATGTAGTCCTGCTTCTCGTGGTCGCTCATCAGGCTGATGTGCTCGTCGGTGAGGGCGCCGATGCTCACCGGGCCGCCGCAGACGGTCACCTTGGGCAGCGTCTCGAGGAACTCGACGTGCTCGGCGCTGCCCGACGGCCAGCCGTCGTCCATCGGGTCGTCCTTCAGTTCGATGGTGGGCGGCGGCGGCGGCGGATTGGCCAGCGGGTCAAAGGGCTCCTCCTCGCTCTTGATGCCGAAGATCTTCGCCAGGCGAGACCAGCGTTCATTGGTGAAGCGGTCGAACTGTTTGCCCTCGCAGTCGAGGATCGCCTGGAAGACCTCCTTCGCCTCGTCGGAGTTCAGGTCGATGCCGTTTAGGCTGTTCAGGTCGAGGTTCTCGATGATGTTGGCGCCCGGGTGGTGATTTCCGTTGACTAGCTTGCCGCTGCCAGCACCGTTACTCTTTGCCTCAAAGGAGCTCGCCCCGGAGATGGTGCTCTCCACCATCCAAATGGGCTGCTCCTTCTTGGGCAGGTTGGCGGCGGCAGAGGCGGCCGCC